GACCCATACCAATATAATAAAAATGAAAGTATTACTTAAGTTAGTTAACTTGTTCAGTGTCATGCCAATAAGACTAACAAAGAGGTACTTCATAGAGCTAGAAAAAAATAACAATGCCTATCCTCCCCACCAACTTTATATCTCCTGAAAATTTGCTAAGCATGCTCTCTGTGCCTTTATCCAAGTCAACAATGAACATTAATGACTGTTCTTTGTTTCTGAAAAGGCAGATTCTGAATTTACCTAATTTTATCATCATCTAGCCTATACCTCTATTGTACAAGAATAGCATGAAGGCCAAATGCTTTGATTAAGCTTTTATACATTCAAATTGCACTCAAGACTTTTGGGTGTGTGTGTATGTATGTATGTTTGTATATGCTGCTTTTTAAAAAATGGCATGATAACTCCCCAGTGACCCTTCAATTCCTCTCCTACAGAGTCCTCCATTATAAGAAAGATTAATAGTTTAAAAACAAAACAAATGCATTGGTCATATTTTACAACAGATGACTTTCAAGAATGAAATTCTAAAGAAACAAGAAGGAATTCTGATGAGAAAACAAAGAGGAAGTGTAGATATCAATTAAATTCTGAACGTTTCATTGAAACTTTCTGTTGTTACATCACAGTCATTTCCTCTCCCAACTCTGAACCATCCTTAATGAAATAAAAAAATCTGATCCAGGGACCTCTTGTGACAGCACATGCAATATTTCTGTCCTAGTCATTCCATCTCCATGCCATGAAAGAGAAGAATGTATCATTATCTGTTCTCTAGGTCCCTTATTGTTTTTTCAGTTCCTCAAAGTCAGATATCATTTTTGTGATGTTTTTCCACATTTACTTTGTGGTAGCTATTGTGCATATTGTTTGCTTGGTCTGTTTATTTTGCTCTGCATCAGTTCATACTAATTTTCCCATATGTGTCTGAATTTTTCATGTCTATCATATCTTAGTGTACAGTGATAGCCCATTATTCTATACAACATAATTTTTTTCTGCCATTCATCAATTGATAGCATTTGATTTCTTTATGGAAGAAAGTTTTGCTGTAGTTGTTTTGCTACTATACTGTTGCTGTGAATATTTTGATGTGCTTTTGGTCTTTATTTCTTTTTGACTTTCTTTGACTTTTGAAGTATTTGTATGCTATTGAGATCACTGGGGGAAAAGGTGTGGACAGTTTAGTCGCTTTTCCTGTATAGAGTGTCCCAGAAGTCTTAATGCAGTTCTAAGCTAATAAAGCTTAAATAATTTGAAGTTTTCTGACTAGTATGAGTCTACCAATTTAAACATGTCACAAAAGGGATTTTTTGGACACTTTTCTACTTTTTAACAGCTCATGATTAGTGGCATGAATTTCTTGGAACTGTTGGTTTACCTAAATGATTTCAGTGTAGTTAGAGGAAGATATTGGAAGAACAAAAGAAGAGACTACAGAAGGTATTAGATAAGCTTGAAATCAATGGTAGAAAGCTATTGGTTGACAAATGCCTATTCTGCCAAACCTTTGCCAAGTAGGGCACAGCAGAGAGTGAGAACAAAACCTGAGGAGACAGAAACAAACACCCATCACTATACCATTTCTGAGAAATTATTAATAGCTAACTATATTTCTGGTATTTGGTGGCTGTAATTGAGATGTATGGGGGAAAAAACTATGCCATTATTGCAGAAACCTCTAAATGATTATTTTTTCTGCAGAGAAAAAACAACAAACAGAAGGTCAAAAAGCAATCTGGCCCAGTTATCTGTCACCTTTGGGAGATCACGGGAACAAGAAGTGGGATATCAGGTCTTTGAAGACTTGGTGTAGCTGCTTTCCACATGTCCCGATACTGGCTTTTAGAAGTCTAAATAATTCTTTGTGTTCACACTGACACCCTTCTTTATGGCTTCAAGGCAGGGTTTGGTTTTGGTTTTGTTTGTATTGTTGATGATTTTCTTTTGCCAGTAGATTTTTGGCCACCAGCTGTACTGGTGAAGTCAGTAAGCAAGCATTCATTCACCAGTGCCTCATCCTAGAGCACAGGGGTTTGGAAAGGCATGACAGTAGAACACAAGCTTCACAGGGTCCATAAATGAATGAATAAGTAAATAAATTTTCTCTCTCTCCATACATACATACATACATATATACAGTATACACACACACACACACACACACACATACACACACATGTAGTATTGCATAACTGTTTGCACATTTTCCCCCATTAGAATGTGAGTTCCTTGAGTGCGAGGACTGTTTTTTTGCCACTCTTTGTATCCACAGTGCTTAAGCACAGTGCCTGGCACACAGTAAGCACTTAACAGTGTTGCCTGGTTTGACTTGATTCCATTGGCCAAGTTTCACATTAAGAGTACCTGCATCCTAAATGGAAATGTGCCCTCTAAAAACTTCGCTACCTAGCTATCCAAGCATGTTTTCAGAAATTATGTTTACAGCAGTGTCCTACAATATATTCCTTAAAAAGTCCAAAATAGACATGATCTGAATATTAAATATTATACCATTAAAAAATTAGAAGTGAAGCAGGTCATACGTCTTTCACAATTATGGATAGGGAATGATTTAACCAAATAAGAAATAAGGACATTATAAAAGATAAAATATATAATGAATGTGAAAAACTTTTACACAGATAAAATTAATGCATCTAGAATAATAAGAAAAGCAGTCAACAGGGAAAAAGAATCTTTGTATCAAATATCTCTGATGAGGATCTGATATGCACAAATATAGGGAAGAAAACCACTCCCCAACAAATAAAGGGAAATGAAGGGAATAAGCATTGACATAGCACATATTATGTGCCAGTCACTGTAATAAGCACTTTTACAAATATTGTCTCATTTGATCCTCACAACAATCCTGTGAGGTAGGTGCTATTATTATCCCCATTTGAGGAAACTTAGATAAACATAGTGGTTTGCCCAGGTTCACAAAGCTAGTAGGTGTCTGAGGCTGGATTTGAACTCAGGTCTTCTTGGCTCCAGGCCTAGTGCTCTATCCCCTGCACCACCAGCTGCCTCTAAGTAAAGGAGCAAAAGATTTGAATATGCAGTTTTCAAAAGAGAATTGCACACTAGCAGCCATATGATAAAATGTTTTAAATCACTAGTAATAAGAGAAGTGATTTTTTTTTTTTTTTGGCTAGGCAATGGGGTTAAGTGCCTTGCCCAGAGTCACACAGCTAGTGTCAAGTGTCTGAGGCCAGGTTTGAACTCAAGTCCTCCTGACTCCAGGGCCGGTGCTCTATCCACTGCGCCACCTAGCTGCCTCTTAATTTTTTTTAAATCTTAAAGTTTTTTACCTAACTCTAAGCAAATTAACAAAGATGACAAAAGATGAAAATAGTTCATTTTGGAGAGATCGTGAAAAATAGGCATGGTAATCCATTGTTGGTGGAGCTATGGATTGATATGGCCATTCTGGAAAGCAATTTGAAATTATGCCAAAAAATTGAATAAAGTTTTCATAACTCTGGACCAAGAGATTCCAATGCTAGGTTTATATGTAAGAGGGTCAGTGACAAAAAGAAAGGTTCCAAATATACCAAAATATTTATAGCAACACTTTGCAAATCACAAAGAACTGGAAACAGTTCAGTGTCCATCCCTGCCCTTAACAGGGGTTATACTGTAGTTAGGAAATAAAGTACAAACACAAAACTAAAATTCAGAGTATTTTATTATAAACTCATTTGAGAACAGATCAATAGAATAGTTAACTTACAATGAGACGTACCCAGGAACTTCATAATAGGTAGGCAGCAAGAACTAAACATACCACTGCTTCAGAGAATGACAATTCTAACCCCACTTTATGTCTTCCCTTGAAACTGCTAAGTGAGGAAAATCATAGAATAGCCTACAAAGATCTTTAACGCCAGCACAGTGTGCCTTTGTATATTTTACAATGAAAACAACTTCCAGTCCTTCAAAACTGGTGAGTTTTAAACAAGCCTTATGTGAAAAACACGTCAGCAGGACAAAAAAATGAACAGGACCTCCTCCTTTTGATATGTGAAGCTCCTATAAAAGTAGAATGTTGTTGGAGGAATAGATCAAGTCTTGCAAAATTAACTAAATGAAATTATAAGCTATCCCATTATAAGAATTTTTCATCTTTTCTCTTGCTATTTTATGTCTTTTTGAAAGCAACTATAGAACTATTTCCTAAAATTGGTTTCATTCTGTGGAGTTCTGAGGAAATTCCTAATAAAAGTATACTGTTTAGAACTGCTAAGTTGATTAAAATAAAATTGAGAGGATATGATAGATATAGCAAAGCAGTGTTTGAATGGGTAAATGTTTGGCCTCCTTAGCATTTGTTCATTTGCCCTTTAGTAGATTGTACTGTACTGTAAATGTCATAATGGGAATGGAAAGTTACTTAGTAACAACTCTTTTATATCCTTGATCTTATCAGCTAGTTCAGGAGAAGGGTTTGGCTAATGAGTAATAAAGTAATACATGCATGTTTCTCTATGTATATTAAATCCATGTATCTCATGCAGAAAACTATATGTAGTGGAGCTCTTTGTTAGCTGTAACTCCTGTAAAGGTTATAATCTAAAGGCCTGTATGTATATTAGAATGTTCTCTAGGATTAGAAGGCAATTACAGATGTTATTGTTCACAGGTACACACACACACACACACACACACACACACTCTACACAGAGAGAATCAACAAGCATTTATTAAGTGCTAAATACTGGGTTAACATTGTTTTATGCCTTAAGTTAGGCAATTTAGAAAGTCAAGATTCATTTTGAATGGTAATAACATTTAAGCAGTTATTAGTTATTTTCTGTGTAGCACAAGAATAGCAAGAATGGTCATGGCTTTAATTAGAAATATCTTATTTTCAGTTTTGGTTTTGGTTTTCTCTTCTTGGATTTAAGATATAAAATAATGATTATTCTCTTTGTTTCTTTTTGTACTTTTGTCCCCTTCCCTCACTCTTCCTTATTGAAAAAAAACAACAGATCAGAGATGAATGGGGCAATCAGATCTGGATCTGTCCTGGGTGTAACAAACCAGATGACGGCAGTCCAATGATTGGCTGTGATGACTGTGATGACTGGTACCATTGGTAAGTTGTTCAGAATTTTCCCCTTAACATTTTTAAGAGAAAAAGAAGACTCCCCTTAACGTTGAAAAAATGTTGCCTATCAATGATTACTTGAGAGGCATTATGATCTAGTGACTTGAGAGTCAGTCCGTAATCTAGAAGACATAGGTTAAAGTCCCACCTTTGGCACATAGTAGATGGCTCTAAGCAACTGATTTAATCTTTCAGTACCCAGGCAACTCTTTAAGAATATAAACTGTGTTCTCAAGGGGCAGGGGCAGGAGGTAAAGAGAGCATTTGGAACTCAAAATTTTAAAAAATGAATGTTAAAAAGTTGTTTATATATATATTTTTTAAAAAATACAATTTATATAGCAGGTGCTGATCTACATTAGGATAGAGAATTTTTTCATCAGACATAACCATCCCCATTGAAACACAACAGTAACAAATATTACTATCATCCTCTCACAAAAAAAGAACTGCCTAAAATGATTACCATAATGCCATACTGGGAAGAAAAAAAAGGGTTGTATATAGATCCCCTCACAGACACAGGAATGAGCAGGCCTAGATTTGTTACCATCTCTGCTACCATGTCATATATAAACCTGAACTTCAGGATTCCCAGCTATAACATCAAGGTGAGACTAACTTTCAAATAGTATCATGTCTGGAGAGCCCTTCATAAAGCTTAAAGCTCTATAGAAATAACAGCTGCTAATATGATTTCAGAGTGTCTCCTGGAGCTTAATAAATGAAGGTGCTGTGTTATTCCTCTCCTGAATTACAGAAAACTCAGAGGTTCATAGATGTAGAGCTGGCCTTCTCATCCAATCACCTCATTTTACAGATGAAAAAATTGAGGTGGGGGGTTGGGAGGGAAGGGGATAACATGACTTTCTTAAAGGTCACACTGGAAGTGTCAGAAATGGGACTTTGGATTGTTACAAATATTTCTTGAATAACTTATGACATATTCTATTTACCAAAACAGTTTTTTTAGGAGGAAATATATAGTTTTTTCTCTATTTCTTCCCCAAACACTCCTCCCTATCCAAATGAAGAATATTTTTTTCTCAGAAACTTTAATGTTTGTACAATAGGACCTAAAATTTTGATGAGAGCAGTTGAAGAAAAAAAATTTTTTTTATATTTTTAAATCAGTTGAAGGTGTTTGAATGACTTTATTTGCTTAAAAAAAAATTTAAAAAACTAACCACTGTTCCACTGTTTACATGTCTTTTGATGTTACCAAGACTACTAAAGAGGAACTTATGAGTCCCACCATCCAGAGTTCACCTTGGTATAATTTACAGAAAGAATCCTCACATTTTCTTTTAAATATCTTCACAAAAAAGGGTAGAGAGAATTACTGGAATAAATATTTGTTAGTGTTGTGTTTCAAATCTGCTGACATTTGTGATCTTTTACTAAATAATAATTAAATAATTAAATAAATTAATGATTAAATATTTTAGAAATAATTCAGCAAATACTATATAAATAGCAAATACTATATAAATTATTAGGATTGTGGTGCTAATATAATTTCAAATTCTGCTAAAATATATCTTATTATCCTTAAAGGGGATAATCTAAAGGTCTTAAATATAGGATGGGACCTTGAAACATTTATATTCTAAATATATGCAAATGTTAGTCTAGCATCTCAAAAATCCTTAATTAAAAAAAAAGATAAGTTAGAAAAAGCATTTGATGTCAACTATTTTCTGTGTGTACTAAGTTCTTTCTAAACAACTGAAATTTGATTAACAGTTTGTGAGAAGGAATAAAAAATATTCTTGACTGTAAATTATGTGTAAACATATATTTGACTTTTAAAAATTTTTATACATTGTGTTATAAGCTAGAAAGAAATCAATCTGAAGACTGTAGGAAAGAAAATTTAACTTAGTAGTAAACTGTTTAACTGAGATTTTGTGGGTTGTCTGTAAAAATTTGTAGGCCCTGTGTTGGAATAATGGCTGCACCCCCAGAAGAAATGCAGTGGTTCTGCCCCATGTGTGCCAATAAAAAGAAGGACAAAAAGCATAAGAAGAGGAAGCACCGAGCACACTGACCTGGCCATGGCGGGCGCGGCCTTGGCTGCTGAAGGCCATGTTTGGGCTTATTTTCTAACGTCTGAAGAGGGAGATTTTGGTGCCGTTCTTCTATCTGAGCCACCTTTACGTTAGAGAGATTATGAATCTTGAATGATTCAGTAACAAGAATAAACGGTCCACCGGGGACTGTTATCTTCTGAATGTGTTTGGCCCCCATGGGATACATTTTTTCGTATGATTGCAAGTTTTCGTCTCCTGAAGACAAACTCAGATAGAGTGGCATGAGGGCTAATTGAGTGGGTGATCCATCTTCCACTCTTACATTTCTACAGTAGCAGTGACAAGTGTTGTAAATAAAAAATCAGCTTTCTTCCCTTTTGACTTTCTTTCTCTCCAGAACCTTTTCATTAAGGTGTTAGATGAGAGGATAATGTGTAAATGGCTTTGACTGTAATTTAAGGAGTGATTTCATTAGTCTGAATATAGTTTTCTGCTTTTTTCTCCGCATAGTCAAATAATCATAATAACATGAAAGAAAATTCCAGTTGGGATGCTGGTAAATATTTTTGTGATAAGAATATATGATTTCCCCTCACCACCACCACAGTTTTTAGTACTTACATGTAAACATGTTCATGCTTTTTGTGAAATATCTTATTTTTTTAAAGAAAGGTTTCTATTGTGACCAGTTTTCTTTTGTGCAGATTGTTTTATGTTAATTGTAATATATTTTATATTTTTGGTTGTTTCATAATTTTGTTGATCTTTAAGCTGCTGGTGTCTCTTCTCATTGCTTGTACATTTCATCAATTTGTATAAAAATACTTCAAATTAAAAGATTTCCCTTAATGTAAATATTGAATATTTATGAAGTACTTATTTTTAAATTTTTTTATCGTGTTTAATTCTAGCTGTCTTTGAAATCCACTGTGATTTCAGCCATGTCTCTAATTACTGTTTTCCATGAACCCAAAAGGGGAAAGAACTATTTTTCAAAAGAACTTAGGTTAAGAAGCAACTGAGCAGCCACCCAATAGCATTGTGAAAGAAGAAGGGCCCTAGCAGTTGGAAGAGTAGCAAGGGGATCGAAATCTCTAGCATATGCTTTAAAATTGTTTTATTTGTCAACTTTTGTTTCTGTCCAATGTTTTTGCTTAAATTTTATTAAAAAGGACATACAGATTCATTAAAGGTCAGAAAACCAATGCTGTAGCAGTTTGTGTTTATACTGTTTGTTTCTGCAAATCTGTTAACTGATTTTATAATTTGAGACTAAAGTATACTGTGAATATTTTTAAAAAAGAAAGTCAAATTGCAGGATGTCATAAAACTTTATTACTGTATTGATTATGGGGTGGTATTTGAGTGTCTTGGCAGTAAAGCAAATAATTTATTCTAATGTAGAACATTGAACTTAATTTAAACAACATTTATGTTTTGGTGACTTTGGAATAAAGCCAAGGCTTTGTAACTTAATTTTGAAATAATTCTTGGGCTGTGAAGTGATAAATATCTTGAATTCTAGTATACAGGATTTCAACCTGTTACACAAATATAACAAATCTTTTAAAGGTCAAGTTAATTGATACTAGGGTATGAATTTATTTAATTTTTAAAACATATAATCTGTATAGGGAAATGAGGTTTTTCTCTCATGCCTGCTAAATTGCCAATCAGTGGAGATAGAATTGGCTAATTTAGAGTACAATATTGCATTTCCCTCTTTGTTTAATGCTACCCCTAAAGATTGTTCCATCCCTGCAAACACCAAACTAATCTTATTCACTGAGAATGTGTTTTGTTTTGTTTTGTTTTGTATTAATTTGGGATCATTCTATGTTTTATTACTTCTTTTTGTAACATTTTCACACACATGCAAATCTACTTATTAGGCCTTTTTTTTTCCAGTATGTTTGGGAGAGGGAGGTCAAATAAAGATTGTTGGCTGTTTCATAGTTTGCTTTTCTGTTTCCTTTAGGAATTTGTTCCCTGAGACATGGGTAGTGGACCCAAAGTTGCCATATTTAAGGGAGCAGGTCATGCTAGTGAAATAAGAAAAGAAGTATCTATATAATTTTTTTTTTTTTGCCAATCATACTGAGAGACTTCAGTCCATACTACGTTACTACATTTAAGGAATTTCAATCAGTTTGTTGTCCCTTGCTATTTCATGGTTGCTTTCCTAAATCCAGTTCATGATTTTATAAATGGTCTTTGCAGTAATAAAACCAAAGAATCATTTTCAGGGGGCTGGATAGCTCAAGGGATTAGTAATGGAATACGGAGCCTTTCACCTCTAGGTCACTGAGTTGAATCTAGCCCAGGTCACTAGAGACCAAAAGCCGTTACCATCCTGTGCAGTGCAGTGGCCTGTGTGAAATGAGCTCAGTCTCAGTCTGTAATGGACAACTGTCCATGTCACTAACCAGGGAGAGTTCTGGAAAATGCAAGGAAAAATGGGCATAAGAAAATGAAACACTACTCCATAAGGCTAAGTTGGAAAAATTGGACATCTCTAGGTTTCTTAAGACTGCTAAAAAAAAAAAAATGGTAATGTAAAAGCTATAAAGCATGCTACAGTCAAGAGTACGTATTAATTTACCTTATTTAGTGAAGAGCAGAACAAGAAAAGGAAAGCTTATGTTATATTTGAAAAAAAAAAAACAAAAAACCAATGCACTAATTGGGGGAAACTTTACTGGGTTCAGACCAGAAATCTCCGTGAAGCAAAGGAACACTGTTGGCTTTTGAAGGAAAGTGGGAATAGAGAGTAGTTGGGGGAACCATAGCAATTGAAATCCCAGTGAAATATTTGGTTGAGCCAGTTGTTTGCTATGTAAAGGTAGATTTTTCTGTAGTTTGAAATGAAAATACTCCCTCTCCCCCATCCACAAGTGGTCAATAGTTTTCCAGGTATAGCGACTATAAACTGTTTGAATGGCTTCTACACTCAGGAAATCAGGTGACCTTAGCAGCAAGACCTTAAGGAAAAGCCAGTAAGGGGGGAGGAGGGTGCGGGTGTTGTCCTGGCTAGTGATCTTATTGGAAGGGATTTAAGGAACTCAGAGAAGATGCCCTCACTTACAGGTAACTGAGAAGCTCTTTTAGGGAGATAATCTGCCTTTAGAACCATGTGTAGTTCACAAAGCATAATTTCTATGGTTGACAAGGTGTTTCTCTTCTGAAGGTGTCTGCAGTTAAGTACAGCGAGGATCTTTATCCTCCAAATGATTTGCGATTCCAGATGTCCTGAAAAAAAAAATCAGAGGGTTTCCGAGTATTCTGACTTTGTCCGGCTTTTTCTGAGATAAAATATAGTGCATTACTCCACTGTATCACCTAAACCACCTTTGTTCTCCTTTCAATAGGACGATTAAACAAAGACCTACTAACCAAATTAAAGTATAAAATGAACACTGAGATATGGAAACCTTGCCAGCAAGAATGCTAATGAATGTAGTTCACTAAAGGCCTGCTGGCTAAGTTTTCAATACAAATAGTTTTATGGCCAATCTCTTTAGATCATAGCAATTTTCTTTAGAAGTTTAAGACTAAAAATAGATGAGTTTCCTTGCCTGTAGAATGAATTAGATAATGTTCTGAATAAAGTCTCTCTCCACAATTGTATCAGACATTCTGTTAGGAAACTATCTATTTCATTGGGAATCTTGGACCAGTTGTAACCTAAAAAGCATAAAGCAACTGTTAATCTGTGTGTGTAGGCCAATAGAAAGCGTTGTAACCGGAGAGTTAGAGGAGCAGCTGAACAGGCTAGTTCCCAATTTGATTTAAGCATAAGTGTTTAATTTAAATATGAAATATTGTGAGCAACTTTTAGATTCTTTTCACTATGAACAACCCAGATACTGTAATCCAGTCTTTGGAACATGGTTTTTAGACAAATTTTTATGATGACCTTCTGATCTCTGAGAGTTCCTGGACATTAATCTTTCTCAGTAATTTGCCTTATAAATCCCAGTGTTATGAATCTTTTCTTAAAATGAATATATAAAGAACATTTAGCCTCATTTAGTCAGTGTCTGTGTTGCACATACATATTTCTTCCTTCTTTGACTTTAAAACAGTTTCTCTGGTGACCTCGTATTGCAGTAGTTTTGCTGTGACTTCTTGATTTGAAATGCTTGTTTATAACAACATTGAATCATACACTAGATTGAACAGTGTTTCCATTAACCCATGATAGTCACCTTATGAGCAAGTAAATTATTAATGATAGTTACTACAGCCTACTCAATAGTTAAAATAGTTGGGTTTCAACAACAAAAGTATAATCTTAGAAACTACCTCAGCCCTGGGCAATAATTCACTGCTATAACCTGGAATCCTAGTCAACATCAGTCTTTTTAAAAATATTTTATTAGTTAAAAAAAAAGTTTATAGTGGGAATATCTTGAGAGCTAAAGAAATGGTATTGATAAGATTATTGTCCTTAGTAAGTTAACTATTGTCAAGACAAATGGTTTAAGGGAAATAACTTTCAGCTAAGGGTCAGCTAATTATATATGAGCTGTATTTTGAGTGATATTCCCCTGGTAACAGGTTGTAGGAATTACCTTGTAAGTTGTAGGTGTAACTGAGATGTTGATGATAATAATAATGTCAGAGTAATATACTTCTTGAGTTGAGAACTTTTTTTTTTGAGTCAGAATGTCTATTGCTAAAAGTCTGCCACTTATTAAAGGTACTAACAGTTTACATTGACCAGATAAACCCTGATGCTTCAATATATCCTGAAAGTGGTTATGGGTCCTAAAAGGTTATGCCAGTGGGGTCACAAGCCCTATTATGTCTTATAAGACTGGCATGGCTTTGACGCAACAGAAACAGGGCAGTTCTTAGAGTTAGAAGGCAAAGTTCCAGACTTTCTGGTGGTGCAACCCTAAATAAGTCACCAAACTTCTCTGAGTTTGAGTTTTCTTATCTGCAAAATTAGGACATTCTTACATTTTCCAGCTTACAGAGTTGTTATGGGGAAAATGTTTTGTAAACCTTAAAGTGCTACATAAATGTGAGATGGTGGTGGTGATGATAATGGTGAAGATTATATAAATGTGAATAAGAAGCAACCTACCTAAAGTGTATTCCATAGGGTTGGTTACTAGGTATGGAATTTTTTAGCCGTAGTAGCTTGTATGCAATATGGAAGAGTTCCTATTTGCGTAAATGAAAAAATACCCACACTGATAACATCACAACTCTTTTATAACTGATTTCACAGGGTATTGGCTGGGCCTATACTACAGGTTGATAAGGATGGGCTTCACACATTGACATTCTTCATGTTTTAAATTTCTTGCTCATCTGTTATATTCTGTTTGTATATTTATGTAATCTTAAGCATTCCGTTAGTTTGCTCAGTCAAGCCCTATGCATGTTCTTTTGACAGGTCAGGAAGTAGTGTTTCTATGACTTTTGTAGTTTATATAGACCCTAGATTCTGGAAGTCAACACCCATCCAAAACATTTAAGCACACCACAATGAATGCTAGTCATATAATCAAGCCTTTAACAGTTGTGCAAAAAGTAATTGGTGTTTATTATCATTTATATTATCACCTCTTTCTATAAGGTCTCATTAAAATAAAAACTTTGTTTCTGTTCTACCTTTTTTTCCTTCAGTGGATAGCACACTTAAGTGCTGCCTAAAGTTTGTTAGAAGAGTAGAGCTATGGCATTAACTAAGGAGAAACACAATCTAAAAGTAACCTGGAACCAAGGATCCAACTAAGAATGAAGACCCAAGGTGAGAGCTACTGACACTGCCCCACGATCAGCAATAGCACTCTATGTGAACAATCCAAACTAGAGATAAATGGTGCCAGAGCTTATGCCTTTCCTAAGAGAGCCTTTTGCTGTAGGGATGAGTTGACTTACTGCTACAGAGCATCCCCTAGTGGAAATTCAAGAATCATAAAGTTGACAGTAACCACAGAGATCCAGAGAATGTTAGAGCTAAAAGGGACCTTGCAGTGGCACAGTGGATTGAGTGCTAGGCCTGGATTCAGGAAGACCCTTCCTGAGTTTAAATCTGGCCTCTGACACTAGCTCTGTGACCCTGAGCAAGACACTTAACCTTGCTTGTCTCAGTTTCTTCATCTGTAAAATGAGCTGCAGAAAGAAGGAAGTGACAAATCACTCCGGTATCTTAGTCAAGAAAACCCAAAAAGGGTTCACAGAGAGTTGGCAATGACTGAAAAAATGACTAAACAACAAGTGAGAAAGCAAAGTTCATTATGGTGAAGTATCTTGTTCATGGTTATATAACATCAATTGCTGGAGCTCAAACTCAGATCTTCTGAGTCATGTTTTTTTTTGTTTGTTTGTTTGTTTTTTGTTTTCTTTGCCATTATAGTATGTCTTTCCAGACCTCATCTATAGAGCTAGTAACATATTCAGATATCCTTTTCCATTGGAATGTGATAGCAACTTTCACATTTCCGTGGCAGTAAAATTTAAGAGATTTTCTAACAGTTCTAATTTAAGTGCTGCCACTGACTAGTTATTTGACATTGGACAAGTCACTTCACCTTGTAGCCTAAGTTAGCTCATATGTAAAATCAGTGGTCAAATTAGTGGATCACAAAGGTTCCTTCCAATTTTAACTCTTACAAAGTTAGTGAAAGGAAGAGGGAAACTCTTTAATTATAAATCATACATAGTAACAATTGGAAAGATGTTATTTAGGTTCTTGAAATAAAATGGCAGGAGCCTATATATACATGGATAAAGAGTATGTATGCGTATAGAAATAAACCAGAACAAGATAGTTTCTTTTAAAAGTATCTTCTAAATTGGATTCCTCATGTATCATTCTATATATTACTATCAATTGATCAATAAACATTTATTAAGCACCTCCTGTCACTGTGCTAAGCACTCAAGATACAAATACCAAAGTGATACAATCCTTAACCTCAAAAAGCGTGAAGATTTT